TGTCGCAACCGCTGATCAGGGAGCAATGAGGAGCAAGTCTATTGACTATGAGAGGCTCATAGGGAGCCTGCCTATGTAGTGGGAGCTCCGGCGCCAAGTGTCTCAGGCTGCTCGTCCGAAACACAGGCGCGACACCAGGACCATGTGCTCTCTTACGCGACACACCCCCCAGCTCGCCGAGAGTAACGAGGGGAGCTGAAAGAGAGCAGAGCAGCACAATGCGTAGACAGAGCAGCCAAAAGATCTTAGACAGAGCAGCCAGAAGAGCTTAGACAGAGCAGCCAGAAGAGCAAAACAGAGTAATAGAGAACAGTAAGAGAACAAAAGAAAGCAGGGTAACCATCATAAGACACTTAGGGCGTGGGAGACGGCAAGCTCTTCGCACACGCGGTCAGTACATGGGAAAAAACGAGTGACGCTTCATCGAGCATGCTGCCAGTCCGGCCAGACCTGATCCATAACTTGATGAGAGCGCGAGCATGCAGCATACAGTCTGGGCGCGCCGCGCTGTTAGGGATGCCATCCTAATCCACGACGTCCTCACTGAGCTCATGCCGTAATGCTGCCGGGGTACGGGGGACTCCCAGCGGTGACCTTCGAGATCCATCCCTTCTTCGCTAGAGCATCTCGCAAACTGCTATATTGCGCGCTCTCTAGTCGCTCTTTAATCTGAGCAATTTCCTTATCTGTTGGCGGGTTGCGGAGCTCCCTATCTGTACGTCCTTTAATTGTGTACTCAAGGCGTCCGCAATGTATTAGCTTCCATAAGTGCTGTATGTTCAAACGGCAGGGGCAGGAGTGCTTTTTATCTAATCTTGTCCTAAAAGTTGCGTACACTCCTAGGCCTTTCTCCTTGTTCTGTACAAGCTGGGAGAACCAAGCGGCGTACTGCTCAAGCGTGAGAGCATTAGTGGTGGCGCCTGGTCGAGCTAGAGAGTCTAGCTCACGTTGAGCCCACTCATGGTCGTATTTAGCAGCTGAGCGGAGGAAGTCCTTAATAGGGAGCGCGCCCTTAATGTCTTCAAGATTAACGAGCTTCGCGTTGGCATGAGCCCGCGTCCATTCGAGCAGCCAGTATGCTGGTGACTGATTCCCTCCTGATACTGGGCGTAGGGTAACCTCTCAATAGGTCATTTGTACCTGCTCCTTCCAGTCATCATCGCTTAGGCAAAGGTCCCTCTTAAGCTCCTTAATAAGCGCGTAGAGCGACTAATCGCTTGCCTGCAGAGTTGCCAGCTCAAGCAGTTGGGAGTCCACTGTTGTATACACCCAGTTCCACAGCACCTGGAGCCTTGAGGAGAGCTGCGTGTATATCGATGCCTTGATCTGATAGAGGCGGAGAGCCTCTGAGTCAGCTGTATCGAGATCGGGGATCGCGGGTGCTTCGCTCATTGGATTAGGCCGTGGTGGTGCATCTGGGTTGATTTGGTCCCATACGCCTCGAGCTTGCGCGAGGTATTTAAGCTGCGCGTACCATAGTAGGAACGTGTGGCGATTGATAAGTCAAACGCTTGTTAGAAGCGTGGCAACGTTTGCTAGTTAATCCATAGCTTTAGTGGAGAGGGAGAGACAATAGGAGCAGATGATAAGGAGCAGGGAATAGACAAGTGCTTTGATCAACGCAACGCAGAGGAATTTGCACAAACCAGGCCCATAACTGTCGCAACCGCTGATCAGGGAGCAATGAGGAGCAAGTCTATTGACTATGAGAGGCTCATAGGGAGCCTGCCTATGTAGTGGGAGCTCCGGCGCC